TCTCTCTCTCTCACTCTCTCTCACTCTCTCTCACTCTCACTCCGTCCCTCCTTCCCTTCCTGCCCCTCTTAAACTTCTGTCGCTATTTTGTCCAACAGACCAGTGGCGACGGTCAGTGAGTCTTGCTGTCATGTCCAGTTGTTTGACTGTTCCAAACTTTGATGATGATAGCTGTTGTCAGCTTTTCATTCTCTCACTGGTCCGGTCTGGGGAGCTGTATGACCGGCTGTGAGGTGTCACTTGGAGGAGAAGGGAGGAAGAGGGGGGGGGGAGAAGGAAATAGATGAAAAAGGGAGGGACGGGGAGGGAAAGAGAGGAGGAGAAGGAGGGAACGCAAGAGGGGAGTGGGGTAAGACGGAGAACTGAAGGCAGAGGAGAACAGAGAAAGAGAGAGAGAGAGAGAGAGGCATAAAGAAAGAAATTGGGGAGAGAGAGGGGGAGAGATACACAGAGATAAAGAGAGAAGGAGAGAGAGAGAGAGAGAGAGAGAGAGAGAGAGAGAGAGAGAGAGAGAGATGTAAGAGATAAAGAGAGATTAATACCTCATTCATTTATTGTCATGGCGTACGTTTGGATGGGACATTCTCAACTGTCGGTCATCCACCTCAGGGAAAGAGTCGATTGATCGAATATGTGTTGAGAGTGGCGGTGGAAAGGGGCGTGGGGTGTCAAATGGGTTTGCGTTGCATGCCGGAATCGGTGAATTAAGCGACGTACACACATAGACGAAATTTACCTAACGCCCGTCCCATTTATCTGTTTGTTGACGAACTGTCTGCCCTGTGTTGGTTCAAGATCTCGTAGACCGACCGGATGCAATTAATGATTGTGCCATTTACGCTCTCTGAGAGTGTGAGGTGAGCTCACTCCATGCTTGACGCTGGAAGTGGTAGGGCTGGGCTGGTATCCGTTTCCATTTTATCCAGTTTGGGAGCCCACTCTTTTATTGTCGACTTGGACTAAATAGTTTACGATTACGTTTGTAGAAGCAGCACCTTTTTGGAAAGTCGAGTCAATCGTTGATCCGGATTTTAGAATAATTAAATGCTACCGAACTTGAATCCAACGTCAGCATCATCAAGGGGTTTGGACTGTTTGACTGAAGGGGATAGTATTATACACAGTGAGGTTTTCTTACTGCATGATAGCAAATATATAAAAAAGTATAGAAAGACCGATTGCCCATCTCTCTGTATGACACCCCACTCCCCATCTCCCACTTTTTCCCAAATGCGTCTATCTCCATTCATATCCATTGCTCTGTCCAACTTTCTGCCGTATACTCTCGCAAGCCTCTTGGTTAAATCTTCAATCTTTGACAGCCCTTCATAGTAAATGGTTCTTAAAGTTTTGCACGCCGTTGGACACAATTTAGATCCTTTACGACACAGGCTGTTTCGACTCTGTCTATCAGGGGCACGGCACCCCAGCAGAAAGACGAAGATACTCGATAAAATAACTCCCCCAAGTGGGAATCGAACTTTTGTCTTGCGCTTACAACGGCTGTGAGACCAGGCATTGCACCATAGAATCATTGAAATACCCGACCGTGTATGTTAGCGTGTGCAAGTCAAATAAAACAGCAACAACAAAAAAAAAGAAAAATGTTCCTCTTTCTTTTTCTCTTCAATGCCAAGTGAGATGGAACTACTGCAACCCACCCATTCTTCTTTCCATCTTTTTTCCACAGTATTTCTTCTCTCCGTACTTGATCAAATATCTTGTTTCACCTTTGAAACACCCTTACTGTGCTAGTATGACAATAAACTCAAACGTTTAGTTTTAATAGAGGTTTTACGGCGCTAGCAACTGCATAAGGTCATATGAGCGCCAGAAAATTAGAGGTTTTACAAGGGAGTAACAAACATAAAGAGAAAGGGAGATAAGGGCGATAGATGTTTGATAGGAAAGAAGAAGCAAACCACACAAGAGCACCCGCCAACCACCCACATAAATAAACTCAAACAAAACAACAAGATAACACAATAAATCTATTCATCTCCTGCGCCAAACACTGTAAGCTAACCGCCGGAGCATCACCCAGACACTTGCTGTTCATAGTCATAGTAGTATAGGGTTTTACGGCGCTCGCAACTGCGTAAGGTCATATGAGTGCGCACACTTGCTGTTCTTCTCCACCTTCAAAACACCCGCCAAAATGTGTCTAGTAGGGCGACAAATTCAAGCAGGCCAACAAAAAAAAACAACTAACAAACTAACAAACAAACCAAGACTAATTCTTTCCCATTTCCCCCTGTCCAGTGCCCGGCGAGGTGGGCCAGCTGAGGAACATCTCCCGCACCGCCTCCCGGGTGGGTCTGAGGTGGGAACCTCCGGAGGAACAGAACGGCGAGCTGGTCAACTACGTGGTGAGTGCACCTACTTATGAGAAGGATGATGATAATAATGATAATGATAATAATAATAATAATAATAATAATAATAATAATAAAAATAATAATAATAATAATGATAATAATGATGATGATGATGATGATAATGATAATAATTACTGTTAATATCGTTATTATTATGATAATGATATGATAATCATCATCATCATCAGCATCATCATCATCATCATCATTATCATCATCATCATCATCATCATCATCATCATCATCATCATCATCATCATCATCATCATCATCATCATCATCATCATCATCATCGTAGCAATAATAATGATAATAGTAGTAGTAATAATAATAGAAATAATAATGATAATAATATTATTATTATTATTATTATTAATATTATTATTATTATTATAATCGATTGCATTCACATAGCGCTCTATCCCATGCAAGTATAATCTCTGAACGCTTTCCATCGATGACGTGAGAGTAAAACTTCGTACGAGCAAGAAGAAACATATAACAAATAAGAAAAGCTGTTCAATCACTTTAGGAAGTTTTCTCAGCCATACATTAAAATCGTTCACATAAGGACAGCTGTGGAAATAAGAAGCATCGGCAGCTGTTAACACACCCCAACAAAGACTGAAATTAAGTGAGTCTTATGAATCTGAAGCAATCATTAAACTTATCATAGAGTTGTTCACCTAGACCGCCAACTGTCATGGCTGCAGCTCTTTGTTATGTGTAAAAACTGTATTGCGAAGTGTGAGCACCATGGACCCCACCAGTGCGCACGAACGAAGGGCTAGCAAAACACCAGTATCGCTATAATAGTCAAACAAAATGATAAATGATAAAAGAGAGAGCATCGTTTAGTATTTAACTCATTCATTCGAAAATGCTTTATATTTTTTACAATTAAATATTACGTGACATATTGTTTTATTCGAGCAAATAACCTTTGGTTACTGAACCAACAATAGTCCTTTTAAAGAAAAGGGTATGGACGAAACTGCATGGGGCTGATAGGTTTGTTTTCCTTTTTAACCCCAGACAAGAAATTATTATCGCTTCCTCTCAGAGTGAGATGAATGAGACAGGCCTGTGATAAGGGCTCACTATTCTGGCAGTCCTTTGTTTATCAATGTCTGGGAGGGAAAAAAATTGCATTCTCGTTCAGTCTGAGCCGTCTCACTAAGCCTTTGAGCTTCGTACTGATTGAATTCTTGCAAAGCGCTGTAGAATGTTTACAGTTTGAGTGTAAATATGTGTTAGTATTCATATTTCTAAAATGCTCATTACAAACGTATTTCAAGTGCTTGCTTTTTTACTCTTGTTTTACGTTGTGATACTTGGGGAGTATTGAGGCCGGAAGAATGAAAAAAGGCAAAAAGATTGATGGCATCGTTCTTTGGTCTAATTTTATCCTTTTTAAAAAGTATGTGTTGGTCATTGAAAGTGAAAAGCAAAAGTAGTAATAACAAAGGCTTGAACCAAGTTGCTGTTGGCTAAATTTTCGACCAATGTTAATAGATACACTAAAGCAAGATGATATTTTTTGGCGATGATCTGAAGATACTCTCTTAACAATAATTATGACTTCTTAATGTACCTTTTAATTATTTTTTTCACCATTTAGAATTTGAATTTTGACCAAATATTTTTTCGTGGTCACACAACTGATATCATAGCTTATGAAAATGCTGTAGATCTTTTTTTTTTTTCTTCAAAATTTTGTGCGTACTACATTTGAACAGCTGGACGACGTTGTATGTATCTAATAGCAAGGCGTCGGTTGTGAATGAAACCAGTTCGGACCATTTAACGGAGATGAGTCGGTCCTGTTTTTGGTGGACAAGTCAAAGAATGTGAGAAAGAATACGGCTCCAGAAAGACGAAGTTTTCGATGAGATGCCTGTTCCTCGAGGATATCGTTCTCAAGTCACTTTCGTGAAGATTTAGATCCTAACCTTTACACCACAGACGTGTGTGTGTGTGGCACTGGTGTCGCACGGACTGAATGCATAATATTAATATTTCAACACTCTAAGGTAGTTTGAAACGCGGAACTGTCGAATTTAATTTCAATATTCGAGATGACCGGTTGGTTTTACCTGTTTTTATTTCAATGTAGGTGTTAAGCCCCCAACAATACAATGTAGATAATTTAGGAGGTGAACTTCCGACCCTGTATGTCAGGGCCAACCCGGGCAGAGAGGGATACAACATCTCAGCTGAAAAACCGAGATACTTGAAAAAAGTGTCCCTCTCACTCGGGAATCGAACTGAAGTCTCCTGCGTACGACAGAGAAGTGGCTAATCTCTACACCCCAGACACCTGCGAGGCCGGTCAGTAAAGCTGTATTTTTCGCTGAAATTTAAAAAAGAAATATTTTAAAACATACTCTTATTCTACCAGGTGGAGTGTGGGGTGATCCAGTCCCTTTCCAACGGCCTTGAACCCCCGGCCACGCCCACCCCCATGCTCCTCCCCCCGGATGTCCTGGAGGTGACGGTGAAGACCCTCCTGCCGGCCACAGAGTACCTGTGTTCTGTCAGCGCACGCACACAGAAGGGAGACGGCTCTAAGACTGAGATCAAAGTCTGGACCAGTGCCGAAGGTCAGTGAGTTAAGGTCATTGCTGGAACGTGTTATGGATATTTATTAATAAATGGACAATACGAAAGTTGATTATTCTTTTTAAAACTGCACCTTTGTTTTGATAGTAGTAGTATATAGTAGTAGTAATAATAATAATAATAATAATAATAATAATAGTAATAATAATAATAATAATAATAATGATAATAATAATAATATAATAATAATAATGATAATGATAATAGAAACATGTGTATAGCGCAAAGTCCTGCTCAACTGCAAGCTCAACGCGTTTTACTTTAATTAATATTACCCTCAGAAGACCTGATAGCATTCCGAAACAATCCAAACTTCTGGGAACCATACAGATAATCTAAGCACAAGTCTCCGAGTGGACATAGCACAATTCAGAATACATGAATACGTTCTTTAAAAAAAGAAAGTCTTGAGTATTTGAAACAAAAACCTCTGGGTTACGGAGTTACTGTCTTAACTCCAACACCCCATTGACCCAAACCTTAACCAGAGTGAAGAGAGACAGGCATTTGGAAGAAACAAAAAGAGAAAAAGGGAAATACTTAAGTGGTTTTAACGATAATCTTCGACAGCAGTCACAGCCAAACCACGGGACAAAACAGACGGAAATGTCAGACACGTAATGATACTCAACAGAGGCGAAGGTGCCATTTGAATAAAACCTCCATGCGAGTAATGGGAGCTCAAAATAGAGTTTAAAACTCGTTTTGACTTCTAAATGGGGTCTTGTAGGACGAAACTGATCATCAAACCTGATTTAGGAGGCGTGCAAAAGGTAACGTGATATTTATTCCTGAGTGAAAAGTCGTCTCGTCTAAGTCTGAAATTGTGAACCTGAAATAGTCATCCCTGCTTGTCTGTGCTGTCTTCTGTGAAAACATTTACTGGGGCTGAAGCATTCTAGAATTGAATTTGAAAAAGAAGGGTTCTTTTTCTTTTTGAAGATGGTGGGCAAAGGCGAAGCAAATCTTTAAGGAAGCAGAAAAATCAGAAGTTACTCTAAGAAACGTTTCAGTAAAACGGACAGCTTTTCTTTTCTCTTCCTACTATGATAACATCGTCATGTTGACTTACTGCGTAAACGCCAGCAACAACAACAACAACAACAAATAATAATAATAATAATAATAATAATAATAATAATAATAATAAAATAATAATAATAATAATAATAATAATAATAATAATAATAATAATGATAATAATAAATGACATTTTTATAACGCTCAACCCCGATTAAAGTACACAGGCTCTGAGCGCTTTATAATACAGTACAACGTACAACAGTGACATAAAACGTTGTGTTCTGACTAAAGAAAATTACCGCAAATACTCATCTTATTAATTTAAAAACAAAAACGACTTCAACTGACATTTGAATGAATCAAAAAATTTGATCTCTCTTAAAGTACTTGGTAAAGCATTCCAGATCTTGGGGTTTGGTATTCAAATGCCCTTTCATCCATTGTTTTAAGTTTCATAGATGGTAAAATACATTTCTTTTGCCAGTTGATGACCTTAAACTGCGGGTTGGAATGTACAGTCTTAACATATTTGATAAATATGATAGTGCATTATCATTCAAACATTTGTGACATAGTATGGCCAACTTGTACACAATCCTTTTCTCAACGGGAAGCCAATGCAAAATTCGGAAAAAGAGGTTTAGCAGTCTCGCTTTCTTTTCCGTAAAATAAACGTGTAGCATTGTTTTGGATAGTTTGAAGTCTTTTAACTTTCTCCAGTTATATTCCTGATAACAAGGAGTTACGATAATCGAGTTTTGATAAAATTAAGCTAGTTACAAGTAAAGCAGTATACTAAATATTGATCAGATGATGTATTTTATTAATTTTTCTTATTTCTAAATACATGCAGCTGATCAGATGATTTACCTCAGCCGACATTGACAAACTGGAATCAAAATAGATGCCAAGATTCTTAACTTTTCTTGAAAATGCAATTTTGGCATCACCAATTGTCATGTGATCGTGGTGAACCTCTTTTACAGACTTTGCTTTGCCTATCATCATTCAACATCAATTTGTTTTTGTTCATCCAGTTTTTCTCAAAGTCAATACAATTTTTCAGCACGATGGGCAAGTTCATCTAAGTTGGGAAACATTGTTGAACCATAAATTTGGGTATCATCAGCATAGATAACAACAACAACAACAACGTTTATTTACCTTGTGCCACTTTTCACACCCATCCTACCCTTTTCCCCTTTTTCCGTCTTTTTGGGGTTGTTTGTTTGTTTTGTTTTGTTTTGTTTCTTTACCCTTCCCTTCCATCATACCCTGCTATCTCTTCTATTATATTTCCCTCACAGTGCTGAGTCCGCCACTGCCCCCTGAGATTGCCAAGGTAACTGAGAACACTGTGACATTGAAACTTCAAGAATCCAACGACAGAACTATCAGGTAACACACAAGACAGAACGAGAAAAAAGGGACAAAAAGACACATATGTCTTCCTTTATAATGTGTTGTACAGTGGCAAATATAAAGACATTCAGATTACCTAAAGTGTCATGTTATACAATAGTAATTTATCTGTAACGATGTATAAACATTTGAGAATATAGCCAGGTCAAGGAAAACCCTAATCTTAGACTATCTCAAGGAAAACCCTAATCTTAGACTATCTCAAGGAAAACCGTAATCTTAGACTATCTCAAGAAGAAAAGATTATCTGTAACAGAACTTAACATAATTTTGTGCTCAGGTTTGCTGTTTGTGAAACAGTTGAAATCCAGTGTATGCTTATTGCAGCCATCTGTCCGGTTTTCAACAACTAGTAATTACTGTTTACGATGTCTTCTAAACCCTCAAAAACCAACTTTTGCGTTGTAATATAACTATTGCCTTGTATAACGGGGATATCACCTTCAAACGCCCATATACGTACATATCGTTTATGAAATCTGTTAAACACTCATCAGCCATTACCGCATCGTGGTTGAAAAACTGGACAGCAAGGACACCCGCAAAAAACGCAGAGCTCCAAATTACATCACCGAGCTGTCACGTGACTTCGTCTCCGCCAGTAAGACCGGGGAGAAGGCTTACGTCACAGCTCAATTCCCGCCCCATCGGCTTCGCGGAACATTCACTGTGGGAGACAACAGGACCTATGACGGCTACTTCAACGGGCCCTTACAGCAGGATCAGAAGTATAACCTGTGGCTAGGCGCTTTCTCCAACGTGGATGGGGTATGTCATACCTTACCAAACTGTGCTGAGCCATGCCACGTCATGCCATACCTTACCTAACCATAGTTTATCGTACCAAACCATACCATATCATTCTATACCATAGCATACTTGTACAATCAGAAGCTGATGTTTTTGTTGTTATTGTTAGGTTCCTTCGTTGTTGTACTTGATCCAGCAACTCATAACTTTTGCTTTTCCGTTCAGCGCCATGGGGAGAAATCTGTAGGCGTGTGCTGAGTTGCTCCGTCGTTGTCTGGTAGCTTGAGAGAAAATGACTTTGCATACACATGTATCTGGAGACTTTGAATGTAACAAAACGCTACCCTAGAATTACAAAGTTTTGTCTGCTCAGTTTCTAGTTTTGAACAATTTGACTTTGACAAATTATGTTGAGTTTCACAATATTTCAAGCTTTTTTGGATCGAGCGCAATTCTTTGAACATCTTGATAACAACTTCGAATAATCTTACGATTTTGATAGAGTAGATAAAACATTTGCTTCTGACCTCATGGTCTTGGTAACTCAAAACGGCCAAAAGTGTCATATAGAACTTTGTACTTCTAAGGTAGCGAACTGTTAAAAACGAAAGTTGGTCAGAATTTCATGAAGTGACCCTTAAATAACGTCAGAATTCAGGAACTTTACAATGGTGTAATATGAATGAAGAAAATAGGGGTAGGCTACCTGTCTTTTGTTTACTGTCTTCATTACTTTTTTTTTGGTTCTTCTCATCCAACAGAAACAACAGCATGCCTTTGTCAAGGCGGACCGCCCTATTGTCGGTGAGTATACATCTACAGCATTGTGGGAAATTTGATTGTCCTTATTTTTCATCTCATGATTGCGAAAATAAGAGTATGAGTGAGGGAAAAGAGCAGGGGACAGAAATGGGTGTAAAGTCGTTGTAATTTGTAGAAGTTTTTCGCCATCATCAACTCAGTAAAATCATTTACCCTGCAAGTCAGTGCCAACCCGGGCTGAAAAGGATACAACTTCCCGTCGGAAAGACGGAAATACTCGATAAATATTCTTCTCGTACGGGAATCGAACCCATATCGCCAGCGTGCGACGACATAGCGCGTAACCGCTGAAGGGGGGGTGGGAGAAATCTGATGGTGAGTGGAGCATAGGCGTGCATCATCTTCGCTGCACAAAAATTGTTCTGACTAGACCTACTCAGAGTAAACGGTGAGACAGTTGTCGTTTTACTAAGACAGTATGGAGAGGAAATGTTTAGTGGAGGGCTGAGAGGAAGTCTATTTTATCGAGTACCTCCATCTTTCTACTTGGATGCTCTACCACGGTAAGCCGATGTGTCCCTGACAACAGGTTCAAAGCAGCCCGCCTCAAATTTTGTAATAAATTTTATCGATGACGTAAAACATTTACGATTAATCAAAAGCAACCCCCCCCCCCCCCAAAAAAAAAACGACAAAAAAAACATTTCAAATTAAGGGAATATCAGAATGAATTGGCATAACCATTTTCGCAAATTGTTACTATCTTTTAACTTAAATGTCAACGAGTACTCGATATTCTTTCATGACATGTCCCAGACTGGCGTAAATCTAAACGAGGCTGATACAGCATAACAATATTGTATTCTGGAAAAACAATTCATATAAATAATATATATAAGACAAACATTGCTTTTGAAGGTTTTATTTCAGGTGGTTGCGTAATCTGAAAGACCGATATTCAGTACCAGTAATATTTCCTATCTTTGCCATGAATAGTTTCGAATGTGGGCAGCAGTTTTCTGTGTATTAGTTTCGTGGTCAAA